TAAAAAAAAAGAAGTTTGTCTTGTTCATCCATAGGAAAATGTTCTTCACAGAAAATACAAGGCACAGAAAATACAAGGTTCTCACAAGATGGAGAACCTTCTAAAGCGGTGGTGCCACCTGGACTTTCTGGCAGGGAAAGCAGCTCCAGGATACAATCCTTACCTCATAACTGACACTCCCAGATTCTCTATGGTTGCTCTTGCAGTCCTCCTCCCCTCAGGCAGCAGCCCCCTGGGTCTCGGGAGCAGCCATTACAAGGCATAGGAGAAAAGGGAGGGCACCGTTTTTATATTATTTTTGCTTCCCTTCCATTATGTTCATCTGTTTTGTATCTTAAAGTCCTCATATGAGTGAAGTCATATGATATTTGTCTTTCTCCGACTCGCTAATTTCACCTAGCATAATATCTTCTAGTTCCATCCATGTAGTTGCAAATGGCAAGATTTCATTCTTTTTGATCACTGAGTAATACTGCATTCTATATATATATATACCACATCTTCTTTATCCATTCATCCATTGATGAACATTTGAACTCTTTCCATACTTTGACTATTGTTGATAGTGCTGTTATAAACATGGGTGCATGTGTCTCTTTGAAACAGCACACCTGTATCCCTTGGATAAATACCTACTAGTGCAACTGCTGGGTCGTAGGGTAGTTCTATTTTTAATTTTTTGAGGAATCTGCATACTGTTTTCCAGAGCAGCTGCACCAGTTTGCGGTGTGAATGCTTTCTTAATTATCTTCTTTGTGATTTGTTAGAGTTTGCAAAGGTATGGATTGGTGAACTTAATCAGTGCAGAAACAATTCAATTATTATCATTTCAAAGATGTCCTCTGCCCCTATCCTCTTCTGATTTCTCTCTTAAAGCATATTTGCCTCTTTAAATTGCTTTCTGCCCTTTTCTTTTTCAAACCTATCATCCGACCCCCTCAGCAGAAGCCATGGGTTTCTGAGTCACCCCTCACTGAGGGAGGGACCCAGTGGGGTTTGTGGTGAAAAGCCCCCCCAGCAGACTCCCCGCTCCAATAAGATCTGGCCTTGACTCTCATTTTTATGTCAGGGTGGCTTTGAGAAGTGAAGATTAGTTTTCAAGGTTGCTAAAATATCCTTCCGGTGCCAGCTGGCTGCTCTCCTCCCCGACTGGTCTGGGTTTCCACCTCCATTAGCTCCAGGTGTGAGACAGCGTATCTTCTTGCCTGTTCACCCATGGTTTTAAGAAAATACATGTAATACTTTTCAGTACTTTTAGTTGATTTCACTGGGAGGATTGATAATCTAGATACCTAAAAGAGAAGTTTATTTTCATGTGTTTGGTTAGTTTTGGCCTGTTTTGTTTTCTGACTTAATGTCTCCTGTAAGGGTGATTTTTTTCTGTTTGTCTCTGTCTCTTCCTGCTCCCTTTTATCTTGTAATCTTTCCTCAAGTGTCTATTCTCCCTGCTATACATTTGATGCCATATTTAAGTATAAATCGCTAGAAAAGGAGTTCCATGTAACCAGTGAGGGGTTGTAACCATAGGCTCCATCTGAGGTGACAGAGCATGGCAGGTTGTCCCGCCAAGGGGACCCTACAGGGCGGCTGGCAGAGGGCTTCCTCTAAAGATGTTCTAAGTCTTCAAGAAGAACCCTCTAATTGCACACTTGGGGAGAGATACTTTGAAGTGTGAGGTTCTTTTTAAATTTTTTAAAAAAATATCTTTTTAATGTTTTCATTTATTTTTTTTTTTCAACGTTTATTTATTTTTGGGACAGAGAGAGACAGAGCATGAACTGGCGAGGGGCAGAGAGAGAGGGAGACACAGAATCGGAAACAGGCTCCAGGCTCTGAGCCACCAGCCCAGAGCCCGACGCGGGGCTCGAACTCACGGACCGTGAGATCATGACCTGGTTGAAGTCGGACGCTTAACCGACTGCGCCACCCAGGCGCCCCTGTTTTCATTTATTTTTGAGAGAGAGACAAAGTGTGAGCTGGGAAGAGGCAGAGAGAGAGGGAGACACAGAATCTGAAGCAGGCTCCAGGCTCTGAGCTGTCAGCACAGAGCCAGATGTGGGGCTCGAATTCGTGAACTGTGAGATAATTACCTGGGTCAAAGTGGCATGCTCAACTGACTGAGCCACCTAGGTGCCCCTGTAGTGTGGGGTTCTGAATTAGGGGGAATGAAAAGATCATGGAATCACTGCAACAGCCCCGTCCACAGCAGCTGAAATTTCTGAAGCTCCACTTCCACAGGGTTTCCCTGGTGACGTTGGTGGCTGCCTCCTCTGTAGCCTACCCTGGGGTCATGTGGCCTGTGGACCCCCTGACCCAGGGCCTCTTATCAGATACATGATTTCCCAAGATTTTCTCCCATTCTGTAAGTTGGCCTTTTCATTCTGTTGAAGGATTCCTTTGCTCTGCAGGAGCTTTGTAGTTAGACGTAGTCCCCCCCTGCCTACTTTTGCTTTTGGTGTCAGATTCAAAAACTCATCACCAAGATGAATGTGAAGGAGCTTGCTGCTTGTTTTCTCCTTGGAGTTTTGTGGTTTCAGGTCTTACATTCTCTCTGCCTTCCAGAAACCTGTCGAGACCTCTCGTCACTGATGCTCATACACCCAAGCTCTCCATGACATGGGTTCCTGAGGGTTTGCAGAAAGAGAGGATGTCTGTTGTCTACAGTTTCTATTAATCCATTTTCCACAATGGTTCGTGTATGGCCAGTTTGCCATCTTGACTTTGAGATACCCGATCTCTTGTTGAATAGAAATAAAATATAGTGAGAGAGAATGTGCAAACTACTTTGATGTTACTTACATGGCATCATTTGTGCCCATTCACAACTTGGAAAAAGAGAAATCCTAATTCAAATTACCAGTTGTCATTATTTCAAATAAGCAGTAATAAATGGACCTATTAAGTTTTCCATAAGCAGCTTGGGCTTTTAAAAGCTCCATTGTCGGGGGGCACCTGGGTTTCTCAGTCGGTTAAGCGGCCGACTTCGGCTCAGATCACGATCTCGCAGTCCGTGAGTTCGAGCCCTACGTTGGTCTCTGTGCTGACCGCTCAGAGCCTGGAGACTGTTTCAGATTCTGTGTCTCCCTCTCTCTCTGACCCTCCCCCGTTCATGCTCTGTCTCTCTCTGTCTCAAAAATAAATAAACGTTAAAAAAAATTTAAAAGCTCCATTGTCAAGACTCTGAACGTCAGAGTCAAGAGGGACAGCCCGCAGTGGTCATTTTGCTCAGCTCAAGCCAGTCCTTAATTAGGCTTCCATGGTAGGTCTGGGTAGGACCTTGCACTTTAGCCTTATATCCTGTGAGGTGCTCAAAACAGAAGGCGATGTGGCAGGAAATGCTTGTGGTGAAGACAAGAAAGAAGTGTGGCTGTGCACAGGTAAATTTAGAACAACCGTGCTTATTCTGTTGAGAAGGTTCTGGGTGGGAACTTGGTAACATTAACATGGAAGGTAGACTACAGACTTTCTAGGGACTGAGCTGTGAGGTGCATAGGGATCATCCTCTCGTCTCTTTACTATGTCATTTCTAGTAGAGGGTTACAGATATTTTTAAATGCATGAGAAGGAGGACATGGGTTGAAAAGTGTCAAATTATAAAGCAGAAACAAGAAATGCATAAAGGAGCTCACATTGTAAAAAGACAAACTGCAAAACCTTTGAGGTCTTGAGTTCCAAGGGAATAGACTCCATCTGTGGATGAGAAAAGACAGAAATTCGTATTGTAACAGGCCACAGACCCAGGTAGTGTGACACCTTGTGGCCAGTTTTATATGATTGTAAATCATGTTGGGGCATCTGGGTGGCTCAGTGGGTTAAATGTGGAATGTTGATTTGGGCCCAGGTCATGATCTCATGGTTTGTGAGTTCAAGCCCTGTGTCAGACTCTGCACTGAGAAAACAAGTAGCAAAATATAAACTTTTCAAGTAATTAAAAACTTTTTTAACGTTTATTCACTTTTTAAAGAGAGATGGAGTGCAAGTGGGAGAGATACAAAGAGAGAGAGACACAGAATCCGAAGCAGGCTCGAGACTCTGAGCTGTCAGCACAGAGCCTGATGTGGGGCTCGAACTCAGGAACTGTGAGATCATGACCTGAACTGAAGTCAGACGCTTAACTGACTGAGCCACTCAACCACCCCACTTTAAAATTAATTAAAAAAATAAATAAATAAAGATACTTGGAAAACTAACATATAGAAAAAAAATAATGGGATCCGTGTCTCTAGGGAACTGGGACCCCCTCCCCCCCTTGACAATACTCTCACAGTTTACATTTTCCTGGCAGGTAGAGTCAGATGTTAGTGGTTAGCCTATTGCAAATGGTCTGAGCACCATCTCACAGGGTAACTTTGGACCTATCCTAATTAGTTAAGATAAGCTACCCTCTCTGGCTTCAACCAGATAATACCTTGGAAATAACAACTCTCCCCTGGTCCCAGGGAGGAAGGAGAGGACATAGTGGCTGCCTACACTGATATAGACCTAAGCAGTAGGAGCAGACGTTGGTCTGAAAGACCCCTGTTGTGCTGAGAGGTGGGATCAGGGAACACAGGCCTTTCAGAGCTGGCAGCTCTCTAGTTTTGACTCAGCAGTTTTTCCAGAATGTCACAGCATAACCCTTATTTTGTCCTTCCTGGTAGAGTCTGCATGGATGAATATGGTATCTACAAGGCAGATGTGGTTGTCTAACTTTAAATTAGTTCGAATAGAGGTGCTTGGCTGGCTCAGTCAGTGGAGTATGCAACTCTTGATCTCCAGGTTGTGAGTATGAGCCCCACATTGGGTGGAGAGATTATTTAAAAATAAAACCTTTACAAATTAATTCAGGTGAAATAAAATTAAAAATTCACTTCTGCCTTCACACTCATCACACTTCATGTTGTCAACAGCCCATGTGGTTAATGGCTAACTTATTGTACTGCAAAAATGAAATCATTAGTTACAGGAAGTTCTATCTGAGAGGCTAGATGACGAAGTGGGCAGGTCTCTTGCATGAGCAAGTTTGTACAGCTCCTCCTCTCACATCCTCTCTCCTTTCTCTCAATGTCTTAGCTTAGCACTGTCTTCAAAGTTAGAGAAGGGAGCAGGACCCAAACTTTCCAGGTAAGAGAAAAGGGGTATTTGGGGGAGGGAACAAAGGGTAATATGTGATTTTGATGGAGAGGGGACCTCTCCCCCGGACGTACGTTTTAAACCTCCGGGCAAACATGCTTTCAGACTGTATCTTTCTTGTTGGTTCCTTTTTCCTGTTTTTTTCTGACTTTAGGTTGTAATCTGTTTTGAGGGCTGAGCCCTACAAATCAATTGTCTTTCAGGGCTTGCTGCCCACAGAATACTTGTACAAATGTTATTCCCCTCATTATTAATAGAAAGTATAAATAAACTTGAAGTTTTCAGGGATAGACTTGGGTGAGCAGACAGAATGAGCTCTATGGGGAGGAGCATATGGGAGATGAAGAAGCACAGGTCACTGTCCCTTGCCCCAAAGCCAGCACCCAGGTCAGGATCAGAGGCTCTGCTACCCAGCTGTCTGCCTGCTCAGGGCTGCCCCTTTCTGAGCCTCACTCAGAGTTGGGGAAGAGGAACCTCCCCATGCCTTTAGGAGGCAAGATGAGGGAGATGCCCCTCATCTCCAGGTGACCCTCGGCAGTTGGGGAGGAGCTGGGGACCAATGGACGCCTGTTCGTTAGGCAGTAGGAGAACCCAGCCACCCAAGGTCAGCACCCCAGAAGTGCAGTCTTTTGATCTGACATCTGAGCTGGGATACATAGCACAGAACTTCAGACTGAAGAGAGAGCCCACAAGCTAGAAGAAGGACCTTATGAAACACCGAAATGCCTTTTGTTTCCCTATTTCTGTTATTCTCCCCCTCCCTAACACCCATCACCAGCACCAACGTTGTCCCCAAAAATGATTTTTTAAAATTCTGTGCTTTCTCTTCTCGCTTTACAAGAAGCTCTTTCCTATTCCCTGTCCTTAAGGGATAAAGAAAGAACTCTTCTTACAAGAGAAGGGTCTGTCTTGCTCACAGTGTTGTATATTTGTTTTGATGGCTTCCCATCAGAAGAGCTTGTCCTGAACAACGAGCATTTTCAGCCCGTCCTAGTCAAAGTCTGCTCCAGTAATTTTGTTATGAAACAAAATTCAGCCAAAAAATTGGTTTTATGGAAGATTCATGAATCAGGCAGCATCCTATCCTGCAAATTGAGGGGTGCTCCACTGAGCTACAGAAGAAAGGTCTTTAAAGGCAGGGAGAGGGCATTAAAAGAGAAGACAAAGAAAGGAATTTATTGGCAAGGAATTCGTTGTTTAGGCAAGTCTGGCTTCTTAAGGGGAGTGGAAGGGGTCTGTCAGTAAATCCTCAGTATCCCAGGGGAAGGCCACCCTGAAGGGGTGCTAACAGACCACCGGAAGTGCATGATTGTGTGAAGAAAAGGGAACAATCTGAAGATGAGCCCAAATGTGGAGAGCAGAGAAGCCTTGGGAAATAGGGCAGGGAAACCAAGTGGCAAGTGTGCAGAAGAGAAGAAACTGTTGGCTACATGAGGTTGAGGCTTCCAGTACCATCCACCTCCCTAAAACCACACGTTCTGTTTCTCTATGGCAGGAATTCACACTGCAATGGCAACCCCCAACAGCGATCCGTGCTGCAGCCCCGGTGGCCCCAGGAGCAGCTGCGGTGAGATTGGTGATATCCTGCTTGGGTCCCCCCGGGCTGGGTGGGGGAGGACAGCGAGCAGAGGGGTTCTCTTGTGCTGACAGCCAGCCCTCATCCGGCTGGAGCAAAATGTTTCCACCCCTGTATCTATCTGATCTCCTCTTCATTTCCTCTGCTCTTTCTTTCCTGTCCACCCTGTCCACTCTCTCTGAGTAAAACGCCTTTCTGTTTCTCCTCCCGTGATTTCCCTCCTCCTTGCTAGGCAGATGCCCTCAGGCTGTCCCAAAGTTGGAGCCTTGCATAGGGATGCTAACTAAATGATAATCTGAACTCCCATCCACATGTTTCCTTTGATAATCTTAGCCATTCTATATTCAGTGTTCTTGGTTTCTGGAAATCTACCTGTCTCAGGCCGGGGATCTGGTTATCATGTGTGAACTCTGCATTGGGGATGATTTGCTAATCCTCGGAAGGAGGTGGAGACCAACTACAGATTTTGTGGAACCCAGAGCTGGAGCTTCTGCAATATCTCTCCTCTGCTCCACTGGCATTTTTAAAAGAGTATTCCAATTGACAGAGTAGATGGAAGGGGGCCAAATGGAAGCAGAGAGAACAGCTGGGAGACTCTGGAGGCCTGGATGCTGATGGTAGTGGGAGCTAGTGTGGTGGCCTTCAAATGGAGGGAGAAAAGTAGACAGATTTGCAGGTGGGGCTCAGAGAATGTGCTGATATGGAAAGGAAAGGGAAAGCAAGGGAAGGGAAGGGAAGGGAAGGGAAGGGAAGGGAAGGGAAGGGAAGGGCAGTTGCTAGATTTTGGGTCTAAGGGACTGGATCAATGCTGTTGCTGTCTCTGACAAATAAAATGCTGTTTATAATAGTGTCTCTAATGTTGTGAGTATGATAACATATGCATTATGTTCAAGCAGAAAAGGATGGCCATAATACAGGATTCCCCATGCAGGAATCAGCCTCACTTAGGGTTGTGCTGTCAGGGTCTGTCTCCTCAGAGGTACAGGCTTTCAAATGTGATTTCCACCTATGTTCTATAGGGTGGTGGTGGTGGTGGGGAGTTCTGTGTTTAACAAATCCTGAAGACAGAGACTGTATAGACACCATAAGGAGGTATGCAATGAATTACTGAATACAAATGCATAACAGTTGTATAGATGATTTGTTGTTTAACTGAAGTCAGTTATTCTGAAAAATGTGAGAATTGCTGTGCTGAGCTGGTATTATCTGTCAACTTCCTAGGAAGTAGAATGCTTAATCTAGTGAAGCTAAGAAAATATAACTCTACTGATGCTCTCAACTGTATCCATTTTTATTTCATTAAGAAATTTCTTTTATATTTATTCATTTTTGAGAGAGAGAGACAGAGAGACAGAGAGACAGAGTGGGAGCAGAGAGAGAGAGAGGAAGACACAGTATCTGAAGCAGGCACCGGACTCTGAGCTGTCAGCCCAGATCCTGGTGCAGGGCTTAAACTCACAGACCTCAAGAAGTCGGACGGTTAACCCACTGAGCCACCCAGGCGGCTCCCCAAAGAATTTTTTTAAATGTTTATTTAGTTTTGAGAGAAAGAGAGACAGAGACAGAGAGTGAGCAGAGGACAGGCAGAGAGAGAGGGAGACATAGAAACTGAAGCAGGCTCCAGGCTCTGAACTGTGAACAAAGAGCCCAATGGGGGGCTGTAACCCATAAATAGTGGGATCATGACTGGAGTTGAAGTTGGGCACTCAACTGACTGAACCACCCATGCGCTCCTCAACTTTTTTAAGAGAGAAAGAGGGAGAGGGACAGGGGAAGAGGGAGAGATAGAGAGGAATAGAGAGAGATAATCTTAAGCAGACTCCATGCTCAGTGTGCAGCCTGATGTGGGACTCAGTCCCACAACCCTGGAATTACAACCTGAGCCAATATGAAGAGTCCAATGCTCATCTGACTGAGCCACCCAGGGGCTCTGTTTCTTTTATTTTTTATGTATTAAGAGGTTTTATAATAATTTTAGAGATCTGTTGACATTTCCTGTCTATAACTTTTTAATGTCTTAATTAAGAATATGAAAACTTCACTGGACTCTAAGCTAAGGTTTTTAACCTAAGGTTTTGAACTTTAAATGTAAATTTTATTGTTCTATCTCATGTCACAATCCCTGACAGAATGGTTGCACACAGGAAATACAAAAAGACACTTTCTCTTTCCACACAAGCATCCCTTTTATACCCTGCAAGGGTGGGTTGGCTTGTGTAACCTGCCTAGCTGGCTTCTTAATGGGAGAAGCAAAGTTCCATTCTGAATATAAATGGGGAGGGTAATCTCCCACTGAAATGCCCCAAAGTCAGATTTTGTGTTACTTGCTGTGTTGCTCTTATGAGGAATAGCTACCAGCAGGAGCAGCTCAGAATTCTCTTTGTAAACTACAATATTTTGTTTCCTCTTCTGTGGGCTACTTAGCTACAAAAAGGAAGAGTAAGAAGCTCCAGGAAATCCTGGAAAGTACTTGGGCATTTCCCAAGTATTGCAAGAGAACTTCAGGCTTTCTATACACTTTGAATAGGCTTCTCTAGAAGGGCCTTCTATAGAGTTCCTGGGAGTGCAGCAGTCACTTATGGGAGGGGACCCTGGGGCAACAGAGGAGGGGTGTGTGTGAGGGGAAATGGGGGGGCTGTGTAGAGGAAGCAGCAGGATTACCTCCTAATGCTGTGGCTTTTGTTTCCTGATGTCTCAGGGCTTAGACACCAAGATGGCAGAGATTCACAGCTGAGACTAGTCTTAGTGGGTAAGACTGGAGCAGGGAAAAGTGCCACAGGCAACAGCATCCTCGGAGAGAAAGTGTTTCATTCCAGCATTGCGGCAACATCAGTCACCAAGACCTGTGACAAAGGGAGCAGCAGGTGGCAGGGAAGAGAAATTGTGGTTGTGGATACGCCTGGCATTTTCGACACCGAGGCACAGGATGCTGACACCTGCAAGGAGATTGCTCACTGCATCTTCCTGACCTCCCCAGGGCCTCATGCTCTGCTCCTGGTGGTCCCACTGGGCCGGTACACGAAGGAAGGGCAAAAGGCCACGGAGAAGATCCTGCAAATGTTTGGACTCAGAGCTAGGAGATACATGATTCTCTTATTCACCCGGAAAGATGACTTGGATGGCATCAATTTCCATGATTACTTAGAGGAAGCACCCAAAGGTATCCGAGAGTTGGTGGGCAAGTTTGGTGATCGCTACTGCGTGTTCAACAATCGGGCGACAGGAGCTGAGCAGGAGGCCCAGAGAAATCAACTGCTCGCCCTGGTCCAGCGCATTGTGGACGAGAATGAAGGAAGATGCTACACTAATAAGATGTACCAAAAGGCTGACAAGGAGATTCAGAAACAAATGCAAGAAATGCAAGAATTTTACGCAGCAGAGCTAGAGAGAGAGAGAGTGCAGATAAGAAAGGAGTTTGAAGACAAAATCAGAAAGCTGGAGGATAAACTGGAGCAGCAGAGACAAATGGAACAAATGGAGAGGGAATTGGCTGAGAAAGAGGCATTATATGCTGTAAAGCTGCAAAATCACAGAGATGAGAATCAGTATAAGATAGTTGACTTGATCATGAAAGCACTGCAGATGGTTTTTCCTAT